TGTGGCTTTAGGTATCCTGCAGATTGATAATCTGTGGCAGCTGGAGAATCTGACTAAACTGCAGCTGGACAATAACCTCATTGAGAAGATAGAAGCTCTGGAGAGTCTGGTTCACCTTGTATGGCTTGGTGAGATACAGATAGAGGAGGTTGGATCCTTCACAGGTGCAGAGCAATCTGTGATAAACCAGGATGTCACCTTCCTTCTCAAACACGACTGATAGGAGCTTTCCCAGGGAAGGCTGTCAGCTGTCTCTGTGTTTCCTTATTTGACTGTCAAATGTCAAAATGCCTGAGTATCAGAGCTGCAAAACAATCCTTCACGTGTTTCAAAACTGGGTTTAATACCTTTGGCGTGGCAGGAACAGGTTTCAAGGTTGTTTCGAGGGTTTGTGTTGTTGTTGGAGGTGACTTTCAGGAATATTTATGGAAACACTTCTGTGATTTAGAAGGCTGTTTTCAAAGCTACTGCAGGCATTTCAGAGCCTGCCACCCACCATCTTTACCCCTGTGTCCTTAGGGGCTTGGTGTCATTGTTGGCCCAAGAAGTGCCCGTCCTTGTAGCCTTGTGTGACTCCTCTCAGCTGCACAGATGCACAGCTTGGAGCATTCTCTGGAACTGCAGCCACGTTGCTGGCTGGAAGTCTAAATATATCCCCAGCACGCAGGGCTGCAGCTCATCAGCACATTGTGAGATGTCTAATGGGCTCTTCCGCCCAGTTTTCTGCACTGTTCTGCTCCACAGATGACTGATGCACTTGTGAATCACCAACTGATCGCCACGGTGTAAGCAGAGTGTTTTGAAGCACATTCTCGTGTTCTGTTTGCCCAAAGGCTGCAGTGGTTCAGCTGCTGCCGCTGCACAAGCGTCTCAGCCGCCCAAGTAACATCATCAACTGTCTTTGGACTCTGGAATTGCTCAGTAGTGGCCTGAGAGCAAACATTGCCCTTAGTCATGGTGTTGGGATAGATGTTCTGGCAGGAGAAGATGTTGCAGTGAGTGAAGTAGCTGAAGTGGGTGTATGCCTTTGCAAACCTCCAGTGATGTGGAACTGGGATATGTCTGTCCTATGGGAATGACCACAACAGTGGCATTGGTGTGACGGGTCAAAGTCTGCAAGAAACAAGGCAGGGAGTGTCAAATTTGTCATAGAAATTTCCCTCTTAGGGCATTTCCCCACCTCTTGTGTTTTGGGTTTCCCCATAAGGCAGGAGTCCCTTTCAGGCTGTGTATGTGGACTCTGCACAGAATAACTTCAGCTGTTCCTCTCATTTGGAAATTGCATGGACAGTTGCAGTGAGGAGATAAGAATGAAGGATGATTTAATGCCCAGCCTTTGTGTGGGACACTGACCACCCCTGAGGAAAATCCATACATAAACTCATAAATCCAGAGCCAGGCTAAATGCAAGGCCTGAATCAGGGCATTCTGCTAGAAATAATTTACCTTTGATTTCTAAACTCTTCCCCAGACTTGTCCTTCAACAATATTGAAGTAATTGAGGGCCTGGATACTCTTGTCAAACTGCAAGACCTCAGTCTCTACAGTAACAGAATATCTAAAATTGAGAATATGGACACATTGCAAGAGCTGCAGATTTTCTCCATAGGGAAGAATAACCTGACCAATCTGGAAAATGTGAGTGCTCCCTGCCTTTGAAAATATTCCTTGTCAAAGAACCAGATATTCTAAAACTGGCATTTGCCACTGTGTCCGCTATGGTTTGGGTCCTGTGCCCTGGTGTTGAGAGCTTCCTGCAGCCTTTTCTCCTTTAGATTATTGACTCTTGGGGGCTCAGTTCTGTCCCTGCTGTCAGCTATGGCAAAATTCCTATTGGCTCCCACGAAAGCTAGAAAAGGGATAAGTGGTTACATATGAGAAAAGAAAGGAGACTAAGATTTATTTGGGGCTCTTCTGAGGGCATCTGACCAATGATGTAAGGTCTGTGATTTGTCTACCCCCTCTGCCTTCTCTCTCCACCCCTCGTCTAGATATTTCCAGTGTGAATTTAAGCACTTCCTTTCCCAAAAGCATTAGAAACTCATAATTGAATGTCATATGAATTTTGCAGTGGAGCAGAAAACATATTGCAACCTAAATGTAAAAAGAGCAACGAATTTCCAGGCTGTGTTTCCCCAGCAGCTGGGACTACAGGTCTCTCTCTCTTTGGCACAGGTTGTCTGTCTCAGGAGGTTAAAAAGCTTAAGGACACTGAACCTGTCTGGGAACCCCTTCTGTAATGACAAGCAGTACACCCTGTTTGTTGTTGCTCATCTTCCAAACCTGGTGTACTTGGACTTCAAGCTCGTGAGAGACACCACGGTAAGATTTCTGCAATTCCCTGCTTGGGAAATCAGGCAACAGCTTCTTACAGAGCCTTTCCTTTGTTGGTGTGCCAGCAATGTTCCAGCACTGAGGGCAGGCTCCCTGCAGAAATCAGGCTCACAGAAGCACACAGTGTTTATTCTGCTTCCACCTAACAGCTGTGAACCTGTAGGCCAAATTCTATCAAATCTGACAGAGGGGTAGAGGTGTCAGAAGCACGATGTCTTCACAGATTTTGTGAAAATCAGCAGCTGTGTGTGGGAGAGGGGCCTGGTTCTCGCTGCCACGGAGAGGCTGCAGTGTGAGTGCAAGTCTTCTTAGAGAATCTCGAGGAAATGAATTTTGAGACAAGGATCCAGGGGGGGAGAGGAGGCTTGGTGGTCCTGCTGCTCACAGAGACATTTGTTTCAGTGGCAGACTGACAGACCATCCATGCAAGGAGGTTCCTGGATGCCCTTCCCACTCTGGGTTTCTGATAACAGGACAGTTCATCCTCACCAGTAACCCGTGGGATGCTTTTTCATCCCATGGCTCAAAGGAACAAAGATGAGGGTTTTTTTATTCAGGTGTTTTTTCAGTAACCAAGGAACATGATTAATTGTGAATTTGTTTGGCACAGAGCAGGAGCTGTACTTGGAAGATACATGGGGCTCTTAGCATAGGACTGGAAGGGCTTTCCAGGTCATGGAGTGCAGTCCCTGCTCATCAGACAGTACGTCAGACAATTGCATACTTAAATTTGTCAAGCTTCAGTTTCAAGCTAATGAGGTTCTTGCCCCTGGTACTGCCTTGCCATCCACTCCTCCAAAGAGCCTTCTCCTCCCTAGAAAATGTATTAACCTCACTGGCTGATCAAATCAGAGCACAAATTCTAGAAGTCAAAATAGAACTTCCTGCCAAGAGAGAGAAAAAAAAAAACAACCCCAAAGATGAGGAAATGGAGAGAGAAAAGTTTCCTGGGACTGAATCAGCTCAGATGCACTGAATGCAGAAGCTGAGTGGGATGAGGAATGGATTAGAAACTTCATAAGTAGTTTAATAAAAAGCCCATGAATAGAGGGAGATGCAGATGCCACTCAGGTGCATTTTCTAGAAAGATCAATTGCCTATGCCCAGATTTTTTTGAGCACTGCTGGATAATCTAATACAAACACTTTATCTGTATTTCTCAGAGAGAAGCTGCAGTTTCAAAGTACCAAGATCTCACTGAGCCATTGGAACAAGAAGAGGCTCGGGCCCTTGCTCTTCAGGAGACAAAACAGGCAAAGCAGGAAGAGCTGGAGTACCACGAGGTAGGTTTTCTTTGGCTGGTCGTGTGTTGTCTCAGGAGAAAGAAGCACAAACACTTATTGACTTGTCTTTTACATGCTTGGAGATTTAATGAGAGGTTAACATCGACTCTGCTGAAAACTAAGGCTTGGATTAATCTCTGTGATCTCTGAATCTCATCTTTTGAATGAAAACAGGAACTGCTGTGGAATACACATGACGTGGGAGAACATAATTCTTTGGGCTGAACAATGAAACTACAGATTTAGACCCTGCAAAGCGAAACTGTAAATCATACCCAGGGAATTTGTCAGCCTGACATGAGATTAAAAAAATTACAGGTCTGAGGGAACTGTCAGAATATTCGTGGTGAAGTGACTTTTTTTTTCTCCTTCACACTGAGTTAATGGCTTTTCATTAGTTTTATGTTAAACTCTTCAGGGCTTTGAGAGATCCCTGTAGTCCTGTGACCAGACTGAAAACAACACCAGGCAGAATGGTGCTTTCAGCTGTGGCTTGGCTCTGTATTTCAGACCTCTGGAAGGTCACACGGGCTGAAGAGCAGGAGGTGGTTTAGTGAAAGGGAGGATGCCTGCATGTTTTCCCTCCAGCCCTCTTCAAAGTCCACTGACACTTCATCTGAAAGGCTTAAAAGCCTTGCAATATGTGTTTGTATGTGATAATGTCTTATATTGGCAACTGGCACAGGTTGCCCAGAGAAGCTGTGGCTGCCCCATCCCTGGAACTGTCCAAGGCCGGGCTGGATGGGGCTTGGAGCAACCTGGGCTGGTGGAAGGTGCCCCTGCCCATGGCAGGGGGTTGTAATGA